CGGCTTTGCTGGGCCCCGCCACGCCCTAGCCACCGCCCCGCCGCGTCCGGACTCACCCCCGGACCGCCCCGCCGCGCCCCCGGCTCGGGCCCCGCCCCCCGACGCTAATCGTCCCGCCTCCTGTCCGCTCTCGACTGACGAGGCCCAGCCCCGAGCCCGGCCTCGGAGGCCGCGAGCCCGGCGGGCGGGGTCTCTTCCCCACCCCCACCAAACCTGGCCGCTCTGGCCCCGCCTTCCTCGACACCAGCCACGCTCTTCCTCCAACGGCCGTCGGGAGCCCGCCTCCACCTCCCACGCGGTGCCTCCTGATCTTCCCTGGCCTTGGTCCCTGCGCCCACCTCCTCCAGGCGCTACCCGCTCGGCGGTCCCCGAGACCAGCCCCCGCCCCCAAACATTGTGCTGCGGTTTGCCCGCCCTCTCTGCGCTCCTCTCACCCGCGCCTGTCCCCTGCGAGAATAGTTTGTCACCTGCTCCCCACGCTGCCACTCTCCTCCCGGTCCAGTTGCGGAGGAACATCCTCGGCAGAACCCAGGGAGAGCTCACCCGTCCCCATAAAGTCAGAGGGAGTCTGAAGCAAAGCCCCGAGTCCCGTACGCAGTCCTTCGCCAGGTGCCAGGCAGGGCGCTGAGAAGGGCTCTGAGCCTGTTGCTGACTAGGTAGAAGGGCATGGAGGCGTAGGGACGTACGATGTCAGCTGGGCGTGTGATCCTGCTGAAGGCCAAGGTCCAGCCAGGCATCCATCGTGTGCCGGCCTCTGCTGATGGGGAAGACCCTGGCAAGAAGCCGCCAGAGGCCTTCCCAGGACCCACGTCTGCCAGCTCACTTCTGGAGCAGCTGGAAGTGGACAGTCCACGCTGGGGAGGGGGGCTCAACTCTGACCCACAGGAGCAGGTCCTCACCCTCCAGCATCCCTGATGTGAACTGCGAGGGTCTTATAGGCAGATTTTTTTCAAGAAGTACAGTATAGTACTGTAAATGTATTTTCCTTATGATTTTCTCTTTTTTAAGATTTTATTTATTAGACAGAGCACGAGCAGCGGGAGGGGCAGACGGAGAGGGACAGACGACTCCCAGCTCAGCAGGGAGCCCCAGGACCCTGGGATTGTGACCGGAGCCGAAGGCAGACACCTAACCAAGTCACCCAGGCGCCCCAAGCTTACGTTATTGTAAGAAGAGAGTACATGATAGATACGCCAACGTGTACAGTATGCACGCGAACCAGCACAACATATGTGCTTATCAACTGTGTTACCGGTGAGACTACTAGTCAACGGAAGACTATGGGTACTTAAGGTTTGGGGGCGTCAAAAGTTACATGGGGGTTTCGGCTGTGTCGGGGATGGCGTCCCTCCAGCCCCGCCAGGCTCAAGGGTCAGTTGTGCTCTTCTACCCCGTTCTTGTAAACGTTCCCTGATTTCCCTCAGGTCCCAGTGTCCTCTCCTCAAATGGCCTTTTCCGACCATCTACCTGAAACCCCCCCGCCCTCCCTCTCTTTCCTGCTTTATTTCCCCGCCCAGCATGGCCCTCACGTCCTCTGACATCACACCGCACGCCTAGCAGGCCGTGTATCACCCAATTCCTCGCAGCTCACGGCTGTGTTCCTGATGCCTAACACGTTGCCGGGCACATGGCGGACCCCTTGTAAAGGAGGGATGAGTGGACAAAGGATGGGTGACAGGCCTGATAAGAAGCAAGAAAGCCTCTTGGACAAGGCAGTAAGGAGCCCTGGGACCGTGGGGCCGGCAAAAAGCCTGGAGGAGGAAATGGGTGGTCTGGACCCTGATCCAGGCCTCCCTGCTGGTGTGGTGCCTTTAGGCTCGTGTCCCCGGCTGTACAATGAGGTCACTGGACTGAGGGCTGTGGCCTCCAGCTCTGAGTCTGGACAATGGGGCTTTGGGTTGCAGCAACGGGAATGAGACGTGCTGGCGGCTCACAGGCGGGCAAACCCGATGGCCATATCCCCGTCGGTCTCCCCAAACTCCTCGAAAATCCCTGCCCGGCCTCCCCTTTGTTCACGCTGTTCCCTGTGCCTGAAACCCTCTCTTCCCCAGTAGGCTCGCCTTGGAGGCCTGCTGTTGCTGGGAAGCCGTTCTGGTTAGGCTTGGCCAATGCACTGGTGTTCTCCTCTGCTTCATCAACCACACACACACACGGCCGCCTCCCTGGGCTCCGTGCCACAAGACCGGCACGGGGTCAACTCCTGCTTTTCTTCCTGGGTCTGGAATGGCACAGGTGGCAGAAAAATGTTTGTCGAACGAAAAAATGGATATCACTTTGGTTCTCTGCTTTTTGTTTCAATAATACTCCTGGTAATTGTCCACATAGGGAACTTTTAAAAAAGATTTATCTACTTATTTTAGAGAGAAATAGGGTGCAGGGAGAGGGGCAGAGGGACAGGGAGAGAGAGAGCATCCTAGAACAGACTCTCCACTAAGCACAGAGACTTGGGGCTCTGTCCCAGGACCCCGAGATTGTGACCGGAGCCGAAATCAAGAGTCAGACTCGTAAACAACTGAGCCACCCAGGTGCCCCGACATAGGGAACTTTTTTTTTTTCTTTTAAGAGTCGATATTCTCTCTATCTTTTTAAAAAGATTTTATTTATTGATTTGACAGACAGAGATCTCAAGTAGGCAGAGAGGCAGGCAGAGAGAGAGAGAGAGAGAGGAGGAAGCAGGCCTCCCACCGAGCAGAGAGCCCGATGCCGGACTCGATCCCAGAACCCTGAGACCATGACCTGAGCCGAAGGCAGAGGCTTCAACCCACTGAGCCACCCAGGTGCCCCCATAGGGAACTTTTTAATGTCAGCAAATGTTTAGTGCACATTTGCATGAGCCTGGCCCATAGAGCGTATTCTGTTTCTTGATCTGGGTGTGGACTACCTGGTGAGTGTACAAAAATCAAGCTGTAAGTTTGTGAGTTATCTACTTTTCTGTATATAAACATTCAGAATATAAAGTAGAACTAAAAACAAAAGATTTAGGGGCACCTGGGTGGCTCCGTGGGTTAAAACCTCTGCCTTCGGCTCAGGTCATGATCTCAGGGTCCTGGGATCGAGCCCCGCATTGGGCTCTCTGCTCGGTGAGGAGCCTGCTTCCCTTCCTCTCTCTCGGTGGGTCTCTCTGCCTACTTGTGATCTTTGTCTGTCAAATAAATAAATAAAATATTTAATAAATAAATAAATAAAAGATTTAAAATCCCTGATAAAAATTTGGTTTAGCCATATTTCCTATGACAACGAAAAACTTCTTTTCTGCAAATAAATGAACTGCACGTTTAGAGAGACTACTTTGGGGGGGGAGTGTAGGCAGAATAATGCTCCCCAAAGATGACCAACCCTAAATCCTGGAGTCTGTGTGTATATGTTACACAGCAAAACGGACTTTGCGGATGGCATTAAGGGCATGGGCTTTGAGAGAGACTGATTCTCCTGGATTATCCACGAGGCTCAGTCTAATCACATAGATGCTTAAAACTGGAGGTTTCCTGGCTACAGTCAGAAAGAGATGTGACAGAAGGAAAATCAGATAAGCACATGGTGGCTAGCCTCGAAGGTAGAGGAAGGGGCAACAAGGCAAGGAATGCAGGAAGCTTCCAGATGCTGGAAAAGGTCAGGAAACAGATCCTCCCGCTAGAGCCTCCAGAAGGGAACACAGCCCTGCCTGCACCTTAATTTTAGCCCAAAGTGAGAGCCCCGTTGTACTTCTATGGAACTGTAAGGTAATACGTTTATGTGGGTTTAGGGAACTTATGTTGTTAGTCATGGCGGCGATAGAGAGAGCCCCTGGCCACCACCCTTCTCTTCTCCAAGCTTCTGTCGACCGTCTGTGCAATGGTGCACGGGTCTGGGGTGAGAGCTGAGACAGTCCCTCCTGCCCTCAGTGTCCGGTGAATCTGGAACTGGACTCCGATGGTTCATCTTTTCTCCTTAAGAAGAGAAAAGACGGTTCTCCGGGGCCGAGAGTCAGGTCAGCACAGCCCACCTTGGGTGAATGGGCACAGGAATGGCAAATTGGGGCAAGTTCACGGGCTCTTGGATGGCTCCAGAGAATCTGTTGAAACACTCCTCACGGTCATGTGAGTTTCCCCGCCTGACTTCTCCTGCCTTATGACTCGCGGTTCTCCTTTGCCACAGCCCCTGGTCCTCAGCCTTTTGGCTGCTCTGGAAAATGAAACCCAACCACTCCCAGACGGAGATCTCCTGCAACACTGGGTCTTTTCTCGGCTTTTCTCACCTGCCACGGAGGTCGGGGCACCCCCCGAAAGGTTCACCGCCTCCCTCCTCTCCTCCTCCAGCCCTCTTTCCGCCATGCACCCATCACACACGAAATATTTTCTCATCCTCGCTGTTGTCAGAAACGCTGCGTTTAGCACTCTAATTTTTAAAATAGATCCCTGCTAAAATTCCCCTGGAGGGGATAACCTTAAAGCTATTTTAGGCACCCGCACAGTAGCGAGAAGAAAGGACTCAGAGATTTTGAAAGAGTACGTGCCTGATGGGACTGGGGGTGGGGGAGCGGGCTCACATTTCTCGAGGAACTGCTTTATGCTGGAAGCTTCCTGAACGTGGACAAGTATAGTCCTGAGCCCTGGAAGGCAGCTAGTGTCTTTGTGGGTTAGGTCAGACAAGGGTAACCTAGAAAGGCTGAGTAATGCTCATAGTCACGCAGCACGTGAGACCCAGAGTCAGGATTCGAGCCCTCGAGATGCAGGAAGGAGGAGACAGCCTGGCACACACCCTTTGGCATCAACTCATCCCTTTTCTACTATTAAGTCAGAAGGCCCCCCCGGAGAAGGAACACGGGATGATGAGCTTTGAAGGGAGAAGACCGGCTTTGTGGAACTGCAAGGCCATGGGGTGTTTGCTGGGAAGTACAATTGTATAATTGTGGGCTGCCCGGGGATGAGGGCGTGGTCTGTGCTAAGTGTGGGCAGGGACGAAATAGGGAAAGAAATTTCACCATCAGGAGGGAGACCTGGGGCCGACACAGTTGGAACTTTGTCTAGTCCCTTCTGCTCCAGAGCCCTGGGCTTCCCATCTGTCAGTGAGGAGGCTGAGCTAGATGTCCCCTTGGGCCTTTCCAGCCCCGACAGTACAGAAGGACAGTGGGGTAAGCTGGGACAGAGAGTGAGAGAGCCTGCCCTTCTTTCCTGGTTCCCCCGGTTTCCTGCTGGCAGACCTCCTGCCGAGAACCTGTTTCCCTCGTGCGTGAACACACAGCCTTCTCCCGCCTGGGCCAGTAGACACTATATTAACAACCAATGTTGTGCACGACTGTGAAACCCAAAAATAAAATGGCAAAATTAAAATTAAGGGATGCTTCGTTAAATGCCTTTAAGATATAACATCATATCATCTTTATTTCGTAAAAGATTTTATTTATGTATTTATTAGAGAGAGAGAGTGCAGAGACAATCAGACTCCCCACTCAGAGCAGAGCACAAGCTGGGACTCGATCTCACAACCTCCAGATCACGACCTGAGCTGAGATCAAGAGTTAGTCGCTCAGCTGACTGAGTCCCCCACGCACCCCTCATCTTTATGTTTGATTTG